CCCTTAAATAAATCATTTATTATATTATTTTATTAAAAATATTTTAATATTTTTACTAATCAAATTATACTTTTAACATGCAAACATGCAATCTAAGATGTAAAATATGGATATTAATATAAATATCCTTTTCCAAGAAACAAAAGCAATTTTTTTCATTATGAAACCAGATCCAAACAAAAGCAAATTATGTATGAGAGAAATTGACAAAAAAATTTGTTGGATCCGTAAAAAGTGGTAAATCATTAATTCTTATACACTACTATACAAATTTGAAATTAAATTTAAAAAAAAAAAGGTCTTTTTCAAAAGATTGCATTTGACCCACAGCTTCAAATTTTGTAACCAAAAATATTTCTCTCAACTATTCAAAGACGGACTATAGCTTGCTTATACATATCCAATGACAAAAACACACATTTAGTTAATTTAAAATCTGATATGCCTGTGATATATCATAGCAATTGAAACTCTTTTAACTATATAATTAAGAATAAGCTAGCGGTGGACTTACCTCTCAGCCATCTCCGAGATCTCTGGGCAATGAACTTGAAAGCTAACGACTTTTTGGAAATTTTAAATTAACAATAGCAACAATTCCAGTAGATATCAAGAAAATGGCAGAGTTTCTGGGTAGCGAATCGGAGTCCGATATGAGGAATTCCACCCACGGGATCAGGCCCAGATCATTCCCTCACCGCTGCCCCCAAAACTCCTCTGTCTCAGATCTATACCAACAAGACACGGTGCAGCAGAGTTGATGGTAAACTGAAAAGGCCGGCGATTCAGAGATGAAAGGAGAGACCCAGAGGCTGCCCCGCTGCTATAAGACGTGGAAGATGATCCGCGGCCACTGCCAGGTGAAGAAGGTAGATCTCCGGCAGTGGAACGATGTGGATGACGAAGTTGCTGCTGAGGGTGCCAAGAGGATGAAAACGAGATGGTGACAATGATGATGATGGCTATGGTTATCGTGATTAGAGGATAAAAAGGAAAAAAAAAAAAAAAGTCTGGATGGTGATGGTGATGGCGATGATGATGGGGGTGATGATGATGGAAAAACTGGGAGATGTAGGGAAGCGGAGAGGTGGACGGCTGCGTATACCCGAGGGGAGAAGAATCGAGAGAGAAAAGAAGAGAAATCTCCCTCTTTTTTTTTGTCAACCGCCCCACTGGTTCTGCCGTTCCTCCCCCTTTTAAAGAGGAAGGAAAACTGGACGTATATACACCAAAATAATAATAATAATAATAAGGCTAGTGTCTTCTATACTTGAGCAATTTGTCTAGGCATCACTGATCATAAGCGGAAACAAAAAAAATACTTTATAAAAAATTGAACATAATGTACATCAACCTAACACAATTAATAAAGTAACATAAAGATATAATATGAAATGTGTACTTTAATTATGAATTTTAAAGTATTGAAACATGTAAATTACTAATAAGTAAATATATATCCAAAACTGAGAAGAAATGTAAAAGTAAATACTTTTGAGAAAATTAAAGAAAATAAATTTTAAAAAAAATTGAAAGAAAAGAGAGGCAAATTAAAATGTCACTTAAAAATATTATGATTTTAAATTGATAAAAAAATATTAAATATTAAATCCTAGTTCAAATTTAAATCCTAAAACTCTAAGTCATAAATTTTAAAAACTTTAATTTTTAAAT